AATTGTCGTCACAAGTAGAAGCCCTGGTAGCAGGTAGTAGTCGTAGTAGTAGTAGTAGTAGTAGTAGTAGTAGTAGTAGTGGTAGTAGTAGTAGTAGTAGTAGTAGTAGTAGTGGTAGTATTCGTGGTGGTGGTGGTGGTGGCAGCAGCAGCAGCAGCAGCAGCAGCGGCGTGTAGTGTAGTAGTCGTTGTAGCAGTCGTTGTCGTAGCAGTGGTGGCAGTCGATGTCGTCATCGTTGTCGTGGTCGTAGTTGTTGCGGTTGCTGCCGTTGTGGTGGTTGCTGTTGTTTCTGCTGCTGCTGCTGCTGTTGTGACATGTTGTTGCAGGTAGTCTTCGTGTAGCTGCCATGATTGCTGTCCTTCTTAGCTTTCAAATTAGTAGCAGCGGGATAGCGGCGGTAGTAGTCGTCGTCATCGTCGTCGTTGCCGTTTCAGGCGTAGTAGCTGCTGTTGATGCTGCCGTCGTCGCAGCAGCAGCAGCAGCAGCGGCGGCGGCGGCGACGGTGGTGGTGCGGGTCGGGAGTGGGGCTATGGGGGTTCGGGGATTAAGGTTCAGTGATTATCGGGTTTGGGGTTGTGGTGCTTAGGGTTTTAGGATTCAGTTTTAGGGATGAGAGGGTAGGACAAGGGATATGATCCGTGGCGGTGACGGTGTTGGTGCCATCAGCGGCAGTATCAGGAGCAGAACGATGACAGACAGCAGCAGAAGCAGCACTGCAAGGCAAATGGCCAATGGACACAAGGTCAACCGCAGATGCAAACGCAACGCATAAGCAACAGCAGAAGTAGCAGCTGCAGCAATAGCAACAGAAACAGCGAAAGCCGTAGCAATAGCAGCTATGTAGCTTGACAGCAGGCAGAAAACAAGGGAAGGCCTGGAAGCCTTACCCTAGCAGCACATGCAAGGGGCTGATTAACTAAGACTAGACGTACAAGAGCCTTGACCAGGAGCGCTTCTTCGTTCAAGGACGATCGTCCCACAAGCAGCCTTACCAAAACGCTTCTGAAGTCGTCAAGACGCCAAGGTGTGATGGCTGCGTCAAACACAAGTTTTGGACCAAAACTTGGGCCAAATGCTGGCACGGAAGTCGCAACGACGTTTGCCGAAGTTCCCAAGCGCAACATGTCTACAACAAAGTACTGAGACTCGCTCCAAGAACGAAGTGAGTCAAAAGGGCCCCCTTGACAGCTACACTGGGATAGACTGGGACCCAGATATCACCCAGGTAGGCATTACAGGAACGACAAGGCTAAATCCACCTGGTAATCCCTGAAAGGTTCAGTTCAACCTTAACCACTAGGTAAGGGTTTAGGCTTAGGGTACTGGGTAAAACGTCTTCTCTGGATCCTGTGCCTCCGAACCTGGTATAGCGGGCAGAACAGCCATCGCAGAGGTCCAACGCAAACTCTCAGAATTTGAGTCTTTTCCTGGGCACTGGTTAAACCCTCGACCTAGTGGATTCGCCTCAACCCCGAACCCTGAATGAATAGAGCATATTCACAATGGAAGGCCTTGAGGGATTCTAGCCCGAACACTTACTCTGCACTAGCTTTCTAGATCGCCTTCTCGCCAGTCTCGACTGACACACGAATCTCACGAAAGTTTCACGTAATGTTCCATGATGCATACTTATGTTTATGAAGGTTCAACATGCTTGCCCTTGTTCTGTTGCAGTTCATGGTCAAAGGGAGAATGCCTTGTGTTGCATTATGCTCTTGTTGCCTGCTTGCCCACCATGCTGTGTTCTACAACATAGTGGCACACCTGGCATGCTTGCTGCTTTTCGTGGCGTCGGTCAGTGCCGCGACTGGCTTTAGACTTCGAGCCTGAATGTTGCTACACTCTGCTAGATGATGGTGACCAGCTTCTGTTGTGGAATATGCTGGCTTACATTATACTATGCCAGGTCATGCTGTACAAGCGCGCGATTGAGATATACTTGCTGTTTGTTGCCCGTCTTACTCGTCGATCTTGGTTGTTGCATGATATGCTCCTTCAGGTTAGCTTAGACCATACTGCGTCATGCTACGGTTGATGGACAAAATCCTGCATGACCTTATATACCTAAACTATGGGATTTATGGTGCTATACTATATTTGGGTCATGCAGAATTTTGTCCATCAACAGTAGTTCGTGCTTCTGTGGTCGGGCATTTCAGCATCTTGCAATGTCGACCCTGTGTTAAACTCAATGAAACCGGAGTGCACAATGCACGGCAGTTTACCAATTTATTCTGCTATCCCGTGTCTCCTCAACCTGCGAGGTATCCCTCTATACTGCTCATGCGGTGATATGGTGTGCTACAATACCGTTTTATAGAAGAAACTGTAATGATATAATGAACTTCGCTCTATAATCCTTGAACATGATGCCTCTTGTCTCACTCGATTATAATATCTCGTGCATAATCATGCCGTGTTTTCTTGTGTGTCTTGGTGCTGCGTCCATGTTATGCGGATTGTGTTCTGCATGTGCTGACCCCATCGCATGTGTCTAGCAAGGGAGCAATCAAGGCGCGAGGCAAAAACTCGACGGGAAGGCAGTGTGAACATGGAGTCGGCGATCGTGTTGAACATCAGCCGGGTCTCCTGGCTTGGTACTGTTGATAATACAATCCTGCATTGCCTTACGGACCCTGAACTATGGGAATTATGGCATAGTCCTTATTTTTGGCTAATTTACCGTAGTTTTCAGGAGCAGGCCGGCCAGGGATTGTTAGGAGGCCAATCGACAGGCCTTTCCTGGCGACTCTCCGGGACCCACTGTTTGGGACTTGATGAAACCTACTGTAGGGAACATAATAACAAGAATAGGGTTTTGGGGCTTTACCAGAATCATAATATATAATCATAATACGGAACCCCAAACTAGTATAGGTATTTATTATAATACACCTTCTTCGGTCGCCAACCTCGGTTTGGAAAAAACCAGAAAAGTTCGGGAGGTCAGGCAAGCTTGAAACCAGACGAAACCCTAAAATCCCAAGAGCCTAAACCCAAAGAACGAACCCCAAAAAGCCCAAAACCATGTAGCCCAAACCCCTAAACCTTCAACCTCAAATTCCTTAAACCGCCCTTTTCCGTTTCGAAGCCCCATCGCTCAAAGCCCCGCACCCAAAAGAACCTGAACTAATAGAAGCCTGAATAATTGGAACAGGGTTTGGGGTTATAGTTTAATAGTTTATAACTTTATTGGGACTACTGGGGAGATTCTATCTTATAACTTTATTGGGACTACTGGGGAGATTCTATCTTATAACTTTATTGGGACTACTGGGGAGATTCTATCTTATAACTTTATTGGGACGATTGGGGAGATTCTATCTAATTCCTCCGACCCTCACTCTTAAAGGCAACGAGCCTCCATGACCCTATATACCTAAACTATGGGGCTTATGGTACTATACTATACTTGGGTCATGCAGAATTTTGTCCATCAACAGTACTAAGGCAACGAGCCTCCGGGATGTCGTGCATGGAGTTGAGGAGCTCTCCTGTAGCTGCAAGGAGAAGGGGTAGGATAGACTTAAGGATTGAGGGTTAGGGGTTTAGGGGTTTAGGGGTTTAGGGGTTTAGGGGTTTAGGGGTTTAGGGTTTAGGGTTTAGGGTTTAGGGTTTTTTTTTTTTTGAGGGCCTTTTTGGTGTCTGCGGCGAGGCGTCTCCCAAGCTCATGTTGAGCAGGCATCGGGCTATTTTTTAGCCCTTAAAAGCACCCTTGGCGTTAACCCGTGGCATCAGTATCCGGACTCCCTCTGAGCAGCTCAGTTGACCCCCCATCCAACGCGTTCATCCCTTGACCCTCGTCGAGCACCTCGTTGCTTCCGTCTTCATTGTTCATCTGTTCCGGCTCGGCCTCATAGCTGTCTTCCAACATCGTGTCAACCGGGTCGCCGACCACATCCCCTCCATTTTCAGCAGCTGTTGAGCCCTTGCACGCAGAGTCCCCCTCCTGCTGTTCGTGAACGGCCTCCGCGGCATTGTCCTTCTCGTTTTCCTCCATCTCGGACAAGGTCATCTCTGCTTGCATGAGGTCCAGCGCTGCTTCCCCCCACATAGCAAGGACGTACTCCTCGGAAATCAGCCCTCTGCGAAGCCGACTGCACTCCCATTGGTATGTATGAAAATCCAAGGTGAAGGGCGGCGAGATCACCTCCGTGACACCATCCATGCCATCCTTGTGGTTGGCCGGCTGCATCTCCTCCGGCTGAATGTGCACCGTCGTGGCTTCCGAGGTCTCGCTGCCGGGCTGCCCCACAATGGTGGCCCCCAGAACCATCACATCACCTCCAACATGTTGGGGTAAGGGCATTGTTACCGTTGTCTCGACACCACTTTCCCCAGGTCGCGGTCCGAGGTGTAGCTCCAGCAGTGCCCGTTGCCTTTTCTGTGGACGTCGCATCTCGTCGTACATTGCCCAATCGTCCCACTGCTGCCATCTGTTGGCTTCATCCTCCCGCATATGGGACAGGACCAGCTCCTCCAAGTGGTGCTCATACTCGGCCTCCTCTGCGTCGTGCTCCATCTCTTGTGCTCTGTTGAGCAATTGTTGGCACCGTTTCTCGGCCATGTATTCCGCTTCTTCCACCGCCAGAGCTTCTCCCTCCTCTCGCCCAGACTGGTCGAGCCGCAGCGGCTCCTGAGATCCCGCACTTGTAGCCACCCTTGAGGAAGCTCTCCGCTGCATGTGGCACAGGATATGCTCCCACCACTTTTGCACCCAGCTCTCGTCACACGTCTCCAGGGTATCCATCTCATTCTCAGGCTCCACATCGTCCTTCATTGCAACGAGCAGGGCGTCCAGCAGGTCGAGAGTGTCATTCGGCCCGTGTTGCATGCGGTACTGCCTTGTCCTTGCTTGCATCCTGCCCAGCATGAGCGCAGCCGGTCTCACCATAGCTTGGCTGGCCCAAGCTGCCTGGAAGTCTTGTAAGACGGAGGCCTGGTCGCGGAAGGCGTGTCGGCAAGTCGTTGCGACGGTCTGCATGAGGCTGTGGGCATCCGTTCGTTCCACTTCCACCTCAACCAGGTCCTCCTCGGAGGCTGCAAGGATCTGAGCCCCTTCGGCCATGAGCCTTCGTAGCAACTCCACAAGCCCTATCGTCATGATGGCCAGGTCATGGCGGTCGTACTCTCGTAAGGTGTCAACCGCGTTGTCTGCGGAGCTCCTGGGGATGACTCTGCCTCCACTCTGCACTGCCCTGTCCATGTCCCCCATTGCTTGCGCGTCACATATGCCCAGCAATTGTCTCCAGAGGTCAACCGCCTCTGGTACAGTGAGCGGCAAGGGCGCAGCCGGGTCCACAGGCTCGGGGGCTCGGGGCTCCACGCGCTCGTGTCGAGGCCGGCCCGAACCAGAGCATGCCCCTCGCGTTGTTCTCGTTCGCGGCTCGTCCCTGGGTGCCCTGGGTTCGAGCACCCGCGTGCTCGTGGTGATGATGGGGCCTCGACTGCTTCCAGCGCTTTCGGACGCTGAGTTTGTCCTTCCCCTTCTGACCGGCGATCTGCTTCTCGGTTTGCCACCAGCCATCAAAGAGGTGGTGTCTGCTTCTCCCCCTTCTTGTGCTGGGTCCTTCTCCCTCATGTCGTCAGCGCTTCCAGTGGCCTGGGTCTCCTCTGTCACTTGTGCTTCTGCTGTGTCCTCGTCCTCCAGCACATCTGTGCTACCACGAGCCTGGGGGTGCCCAGACACCCTCGTCATCCTGTCCGCCACCAGGCCACTAGTGGCCCCTGGGCGGCCAGCCGCCCCATCTTCCTCGCGTCGTCTCTTGCGGGCCGCGAGCCTTTCTCTGTAAGCCATGATGTCGTCGTGCTTTAGGCGGGCACAGGCTCCAATCTGGTCTCGGATGCCATCCAGCCACCCCTGCATGTCCGGGTCAAGCTCAAAGTCCCATGGGTTAGGCACCCGGAACAGATGAGGCCGAAAGGCTGGACTCACCTCAGCTTCCACCCAGCTCCTTGACCCTGTGCTGGTGGTGTCGCAGGTGTGCAGGAAGAGTCTGTATATGGACCGTGCGCAGTAGCACGCTTCACCCTGATCTCCATTCCAGACCATGTTGCGCAGCATCATGTCGATGTCGTCTCTGATTTCCCATGCTCGCAGCCTCCAGCGGCGGTCCGGCTCATCATAGTGCTCCGCCCACGTCTTGGCCTGGACAGCACTGACAGCATCACTCTCCTCCGTCGGGGTATCATTGCTTCCATTGCTGCCTGCACTCTGGTCCGGAGGGTCATATCTCACCGGCCGTGGTGGTGGGGGGCCTGCACGCGGAGGGTTGTCTGTCGAGGAACTGGACCGTGCCCCTCGTCCGCTGAGAGGCTCACACTGGTCGTGGGGGTTCCGGGCCCTATACTCCTCCCACATGAGGTCCACAATGGCTCGCATCCATTCTTGATCCGTTTCCAAGCCTTCTGCCAGTTCCGCACCTCCAGCGTCCGCACCTCGGTCTTGTTCGTCCCACACCGAGCCGACCCTAGCATTGAAATAGCTTCGAAAGCCCATGTTGTCACGTTCATCCACTGCTTGCGAGAAAGTCTGCCGTAGGGTTCCCTTTCTGCGGCCCTTGAGCAGACTCCAGACTTGTTTGAGTGCCCTCGTGATGATCTCCTTTGAGTCCGTCAGAGGCGCAGCCCTTTGACTGTCTGCACCTGGGCCCCTGGCGGGGGCCGCCCCCTGCATGAGGATGACACCTTCAGGTTCATTGGGTTAGGGTTTAGGGTTTAGGGTTCTGGGTTCTGGGGCTTAGGGTTCAGCGCTAAGGGCTATGGGAGCACAGGGATGTCCGGTTTTGGGTTTTGGGGCTGTAAGAGCTTTGAAAAGGGGACTGCGAGATCTAGTAAGGCTACTTTGAAAAACCGGAAGCTGCCAAAAGAACATGCCAGTGTAGCTTCCCTGTCCGTTATTCGGCTTCTGCCTGGGGCCTCAAGAAGTATTCGCCATAGTCTCCTGTGATGGAAACCCGCTGCAAGTACAGCAGAACATACGTCACAAGACTTCTCTAGGGGTTCAGGCCCTTCTGTGATTCACTTTTGTGCCAAACCCCACACTGCAACACCCGAACCGCCACAGGACTCAAGACTGGACAAGATCGGAATGGATGATTTTGGGCACTTCTCAAAAAGGCGAGTCTAGAAGCCGAGGATCCAGCAGTGAACCCGAACAGCCAGGCCCAGAATGCAAATCCCACACTGTCAGAATGGAAAGGCTCCCAGACCCGAGTTCAGCATCGTTCCGCCCTAACAGGCCCACCACTTTGACCCCCTCCTCTGCCAATCGCTCGCGTCGTGAGAATCGCGAGGGCATACAGCGCCACGAAAGTTAAAACCTTGGGTTTCGGGTTAAGGTTTAGCAGCGTATGTGAGGCGTGAGGAGGGGCTCGAGCAGAAAGGCATTTAGCAGACGGCGCTCTGCTGCACCACTCTGCTCAACCCTCCAAACCTCAAACCCCAACCATTACACGGAGCTACTCCTGACAGCAAGAACGAATCTGGGTGGCTCACGACCACAAGTGTTCAAGCTGTCACGGATTCAACACCAAGGTTGCGGCAAGAACCCAGAACATGCTCTGCATCGCGCGCACCACACCTGCCACAATCCACTGGGCGAAGCTTCCAAGTTTAGCTCTCGTGTTCAGTCCTGGCCACAGGATTGAGCCATCAAGTGTCTATAGCATGATGAATCATATTGCAGCTTGTTCAAGCTGTTTGTAGCATGGCTGAAGATCTGACTGGGCGGTCGAACCCGCAAAAGGAGGCTCGAAGTGCACCTTGAGCTGAAGTCTATAACTCTACAAACCTGCGTCATCCCTCCAACAGCCTGCAACTTCGAAGCTGGGTCCTAAACCCAAACCCTAAACCCTGAAGGCCCAAAACCCTCCAAATCTTGCATCGAAGGCCTTGGTGCACAGGATCCCTGGCCTTTCCTACTTGCAGGTTCATACGGTTGATGATATAAATCCTGCATCACACCTAATAAGGAATATACTATAATTCCCATAGTTCAGGGTCCTTAAGGCAGGATTTGTATCATCAACAGTAGAACTTAATAAGTACAGCTACGAGTACTTTGATTGGGGTTATAAGTAATTGTAAGTAGAGTTGCCTTGTTTAAAACCCCAGTTACGAAGTCCCATGAACCTTTAAGTACATTCAACTTAGCTCCTGAACCAAGTGCTTCACTGGCTTGGCTTGCGGATTTTGCGGTTGACCGCTCTTCGGATTCTGGAGCGTTTTCGAGCATAGCTTTGATGTCTGGCTTTCGATGTCTGGGGCTTAAGCACTGTACTAACACGGATCATAGTAGGGTTTAGGGTTTAGGGTTTAGGGTTTAGGGTTCAGGAGAAAATTCAAAACTATTACAAAAAACTGTAGTCGTCACAATGGTGCTAGTACTAATGACCATAAAACCATGGAAACATACAACTAAAAAATCAGACCGCTCTTGTTCGAAATAAGCCAAAAAAAAGTTGACGTTCTCAAAACTGCTCCAGCACCAGTAAAAGTACTACAGAAAACAATCATCATCACCAGCATCATATGATCATCATGCGAGAAATGATTGTAGTACGAACCTTTTTGAGAAACCCAAAAGACCTAAACCATAAAAGCCCTAAACCCTGAAAACCATCAAAGCCTAGAACCCTCAAGGAGGCACGGACGGGAGAGGGCCTATCGCCAGCATGTAGAGCGGCCGAATGGCCCTCACGACACGGACGAGCCGGAGGATCCTCTCGCTCTTCTTCTTGAAGGGTTTAGGGCTTGAGGGGTTTTGGATTTAATAAATCCCCGATATCCTTAAATTAAACATCCTAAGTCCCTGTCTTAGATGTCAAACCCCCTGAAAAAGCTTGTCCCCTCCTCATCAGGCGCAGTAGCCGCGCCAGCGTCATCAGCTTGCTGAGGCCGCCACCTTCGTCGTTGCAAGGGCTTAGGGCTTCGGATTTAAGGTTCGGGTTTAGGGTTTAGGGCCTTTAGGGTTTAGGGGGTCAGGGTTTGGGATTGAGGGGTTAGGGGCGTTTAGCATGGACTTTGCTGGGGTTTATTGGTTGTAAGGGGTTTACATGGGGCTCACAAGGCATTTCAAAGGTGTTTCTGTGGGTTCCCTGTGATCGGGACTGTAAACTTGTAACTACCCAGAAGCACCACCCTAAACCCTAGCCCCTAAACCCAAAACCCTAAGCCTAAACCCTAAACCCTAAACCCTAAACCCTAAACCCTAAACCCTAAACCCTAAACCCTAAACCCTAACCCTAAACCCTAACTAAATCCTAAACCCACCAGAGATCCGAGAAGGAGTATTCAGGATTCAGGGCTCGACGGCCTGGTGGCCTTGTGATAAACGGGGCAGCAAGTAGACCGACCACGGCGGGAAGTCTTCTGGGGATGGATATAGATCTTCTTGGTATGTCTCTCTCCCTATCTCTGTGCATACACTTATTATCATAAACTACAAATATGTATATATGTATATATATATATGCATTCCGTATACAAATTCAGGGGCATATTGATCCCGCGAATTTCCTGCCCATGTGTGTGCGAAAGGCGACCGTCATGATGAGGACGAGACCCGAAAGGTAGCTAGCGAAAGCCGGTCGGAAGGCAGCAGTGTGTAGGGAGATCAAGGGATGCAACTTTAAGCACGTCAATAGCTGCGAAGGGGGGCGAAGCACGAGGCCCTTTACGAAGAACCAGGGAACCTCGGCATGATTCGTATGATGAAACGAAGCATGCAGAGGCAGCAGGAGCAGTGGTCTCAACAGAGAAGCAGGGTTGGTGGCATAGTCGGCGGAGTTTTCAAGGCTGACATGAGAAGGGAGGACTGACAGCTCCAGCAGCAGCGGCCAAAAAGGAACAGGATCACCTCGCAGAAAGGCGTGGTATAAATCGTCGAAACCTCCGTCCCCGCCTCTGTGGCTGCTCTGTGTGATGAAGCTCCAAGCCTGGCGGCAGGCGTTCACTTCAAGAGCTCCGCCTCTGATAGTTCGAGCCTTTACAAGAAGGAAGCTACTACGGCGGCCTTGGGATTTGACATATTTTCTAGTATACTTACAATCGGAACCCTGAGGACTACAGTAGCGTTGCTAAGTATTGAGGCTTGTATAATACGGTGGCCCGCCCAAAACGTTCAAACGCCTCCTCGCCGTAAGAGCCAGACAAGCAAACAATTAGTTGCAATAAAAATGCCAAGAACATGATCAATTTTATCATTGTTATTATTATTGTCATT